TCTCCGGCACACCATGGGCACCACGACGAAACACCTACAACCCATCGTTCGCAACACTGTTGGATACGCAACTACAACCGTCAGAGAAAAGAAGGTCCACGCAAGACTTCGGACAACAAACGAACGCTACGGACGACATCGTTGCGGAACCCGCAACAAAACAACAACGCACTTCACCACCTCCACGACTTCCGTCCACATCGACGTCAAGTTCACGACCACTACCGGATAGTCCTATGGCTACTTCACCAACTGGACGACAACATCCACCACTACCAGCACCACCTCGACAAACACTACGACGTTTAACTCCGGAAGAAGTAATGCAACCAACTAAAGCACAGAAGACCTCAAAGGACACTACAATCAGATCAACGGAGCAAGCAACCAAAGAACCACCACCACTACGACAGAAAATCAACGCAGTGACACTTCCCAACGGAAAATCCATCACTCCCTACACAAACGACGACACCTCAGAAGACCAACCCATAATCTTCGACAACGAAGGTTACGACGAAACACAACTACTGGAAGGAATGAAACACGAGTCAAACCAAATGAAACTACACGACGTCTACGACGAAGTAGATGCGTCTACCGTCAACGACAACGTCATCAGAGAAGCGATACCTACAAGATGGGTACACAGAAAGAAAGGACCAGGAGTACGAAGCCGAATCGTCGCAAAAGGCTACACCGAGAAGATCGAGGACGAAGACTCCGTCTACGCCTCTACACCAATGTTCACGACACTCCGGACACTTCTCGCACTACAAATGTCACGACCAAACTGGATCGCGCGACTAGGTGACGTCTCTACAGCATTTCTACACGCACCCATCGCAAAAGACCACGACGGTAAACAACGTGACGTCTACCTTTGGCCACCTAAAGAACTTTGTCCACAACAGGACAAAATCTGGCGACTAAAGAAAGCCATGTATGGACTACGCAGTTCACCGAAAGCATGGCAGGACTACCTGGCTGAAGTTCTACAAAAGCTCAGCTTTGTAAGACTAAAGTCAGAACCCAACGTCTACACCAATGCGACTTGCGACTGCTACATCATGGTCTACGTGGACGATCTACTAGTACTTGGAGACAAGACCGCAGTCGACTCCACTTTCGAGGCCGTCCAGAAGCAGGTACTACTCAAGCACATCGGCTACCTCGAACCTGGCAAACCACAACAATTTCTGGGAAGAAACATCGACCACTTCGGCAACTACTGCAATCTTGGATTAAAGGACTCCTACATCGACAACATGATCGAGGAGTCTGGAATGAACAACTGCAACTCAGTAAACACTCCAGGAATTGCACACTACAAACCAACAATAGAAGATGAAGCGCTACTTGACCACGAACAACACAAAAGGTACAGAAGAATTGTTGGCAAACTTCAATGGTTAGCATACACACGACCAGACATTGCATACTCCACAAAAGAACTAGCACGAGACCTCACAGCACCTACAGAACTTTCACAAAAGAGAGTCAAACATCTACTACGCTACTTGCACGGCACCAAGCACTACAAATTCACCATAGAACCAACAACAACACTCAGAGCAAACACCAACAACATCCTGGATCTCGACGTTCATGTCGATGCCGACTGGGCAGGATGCCCTACTACCAGGAAATCAACTTCAGGTTTCAACATCATCTTTCTAGGAACAACAGTTGCATTTGGCAGCAGAACACAAGCTACAATAGCACTTAGCTCAGCAGAGTCTGAACTCTACGCCATTTGCACAGGAGTTAATGAGGGACTACACCTCAGAAACTTCCTACTTGAAACCAACATTTGCAGCAAGCTAAACCTACGCATCCACACAGACTCCACAGCAGGCAAGAGCATTGCTACACGACAAGGCACTAGCAAACGAGCAAAACACATCGACCTCAAATTCCTCTACACACAAGACCTCATCAAGCACGACATCATCAGAATCCTTAAGATCAACACACTCCACAACAGCGCAGATTTGTTTACCAAATACATCAGCAAAGAAACACTACACAGGCTCATCCAGAGCATTGGAATACGCATCTAGCACTACGAATGACCAGCACAGCAGTTTCACAACAACAACAACGACTTTTGAACATTTCATGTATGTAAGTAGCTACATGTAACACGACACTTTTGGTATGTAAGTAACAGTAACTACATGTACTTTCACTTGCACTTTTGGCGGCTTGAGTCAACGCTACAGTTGTTTGTTTTACATGTCTGCATTCGCCGACTGCCTGGTAGCAACTACTTAGGCTCATTTGTTTTGCCCCGTTTCACTACATTTTGCATTCCACTGCAGCCATGGCCGCTCCATCTACTGCAGATGCTACGATGGGAGACGCCACTACGCCCGACAGGGCGACTACACCTGAGGTGGCGGTCACTACAGACTCCAGTGACCATGGAACTCCACCACCTCAAACCTACAACGACTTCAACTACCACTTCAACCATTCTACACCCGGCAACACCGTCTACTACAACCCGACCACAGTGATGGACCAACTACACATCACTGAGCACCAGACAACCACTGCACCACCGCTGCCCAACAACATTCCCTACACGCAATTTTTCACTGCATTTACACTTGAAGAGTATCAACTACTCTCACAACAACAAGCTACTCCACTGGCACAACTGGACTACACACGACCCATTCACTGCATCCCTGGAGATCTTCGGATGCCACACTACAATTCCACACTGCTCAGCATTTCACTACCTGAAGCAGCCAACGTCCACTACTACCACACGACTTCACTCCACACTACAACTAACGACAACACCAACTACGTCATCATCCAACTCCAGATTGAACAACCACTACTCCTGAGGTACCTCACTTCAGGACAATTTCTACACTTCACAAGGGACTACATCTCCTACATGATGTCGGTACAACACAACTACTACCTCCCGACTACAACACTGCCACAGACCATCTTCAAGGTGAACTACAACATGACCACCTTCACTGACAACTACAGCCTCAGGAACAACTACGTTTGGAATTACCACATGCCACTACTTCTACCTGAACTACTCCATTACCTTTACAACCGAGACCAACTACACGACTTCCAGCACAAAGCAATCACTACAATCCTCTGCAAAAGCATCCAATACTACGGATTCACACTACTCACAATGACCAACCTCACACAACACCACAAAGCACTACTACACCGCTTTCTACGGGACTACAACCAACACATGTCGTGTCCCGAGATTGATGATGAGCGACTACGGGGAGCTCCAAACTACATGACAACCTTTTTCACCACCAACTACTACGCGACCTTGGACAGTCGACTACAGATGGTCCAAGCCTACCGCACCCAGAAATGGGGACTACATTTTTGAGCTCCTGCTCTACTACAACGAGTGCCTGCCTTCACTACTTCCGTCCAGCGCCCTACATCGAGCTGGAACCTGAACAGCGTGAACTACTGAGCGCAGGTCACTACTTTTGCCAATACAGTAGAATTGATGAACAACAATGGTTTTCATCACTACTGTCAATCCATGTTTTGCACTTCAGTTGAAAAGGTACTACAAAGACCTTTTAACTGAGGGGCCGTGTCAAACTACATGCTTCACTTTGCACTCTTGTTGCATGTATGTTCACTACCGCAGGCCTTGAGCTTACTACTCCGCATGAGTCAAAAGGTTGGCAGCTGCAGACTACATTGGTTGACTGTTTGTTTGAACACTACAGCACTTGCACTCGTAAGCAAAGTAACAACCGATTTTAACGAGAGAGAGAGAGAGAGAGAGAAAGAGAGAAAAAGAGAAAGAGAGAAAGAGAGAAAGAGAGAAAGAGAGAAAGAGAGAAAGAGAGAAAGCGAGAAAGAGAGAGAGAGAGAGACAGAGGGGGACAGAGAGAGAGACACACAGAGACACACACACACACAGACATACAGAGACACACAGAGACACAGAGACACACAGAGACACACAGAGACACACAGAGACACACAGAGACACACAGAGACACACAGAGACACACAGAGACACACAGAGACACACAGAGACACACAGAGACACACAGAGACACACAGAGACACACAGAGACACACAGAGACACACAGAGACACACAGAGACACACAGAGACACACAGAGACACACAGAGACACACAGAGACACACAGAGACACCCGACAAGACTCAGAGACACACAGACACAGAGACACGCACAGAAACACACACACAGACACAGACACAAACACACACACACACAGACACACAGAGACACACAGAGACACACAGAGCCACACAGACACACAGAGACACACAGAGACACACAGAGCCACACAGACACACACAGAGACACACAGAGACACAGACACACAGACGCACAGACACACAGAGACGACGCACAGAGACGACGCGCAGAGAGACACAGAGACACACAGAGACACACAGAGACACACAGAGACACACAGAGACGCAGAGACACAGAGACATGCAGAGGCACGCAGAGGCACGTAAAGACACGGAGAGACACGGAGAGACACACAGAGACACAGAGAGACACAGAGACGCAGAGACACCCGCAGGTGCATGACCACGCCCACGCCCACAGGCGGACGCGCGCGCGCGTGCTTGCACGCACGCACAGGCACACGCGCAAGCGCGCACCCACCCACCCACCTACCCACGCACGCACGCTTACATGCACACACGCACACTTACACACACACAGACACTCGTGCGCAGACACTTACGCACGCACACACAAACACAAACGTACGGACACACACACACACGCACACACACACACACACGTACTTACACACACACAGGCGCAGGAACAGGCATAGGCACACGCACGCACACCCGCCCGTGCGCGCGCACCACACAGGACACTTGCACACGCGTTGCGGCATGCTCGCAGGCTCGCACGCCTGCATGCTTGCGTGTGAGTGTGCTGCACACTAGAGCACAGGCGTGCGCGCGGGCTTGGCGTGAGGTTTTCGTCTTGGCCGGAGCTGCGTTCCACTACTGCACCATGTTCTTCTATGTTTACCCGTTCATGGGAGAAGGTGTCCCCTCTCAAAGTTAGAGGATGTGGGCTCGAATGGTAAAACAAGCGCATTCGCAAGACAATCAGAGCTTTGCTTCTGGCCTGTCGCTGAAGGCTGCTTGGCATATGGCTCCAGCTGGGGGGGGGGGGGCGGGAGGTTTGCGCCCTTCCGGCTGCGGCCTTCAGCTCTGAGCTTCAAAAAGTCCCAGCTGTCCAGCCCTTCCAAGGACATGGGCAACGTCTTCAACAACGTCTTTGAGCCACAGTGTGGCCAAGGACCTACAGTTTGTTCAGAAGCACTTTCTGCTGTGCATGCCGCACGGTAGGCCGCCTCTTGCTCGGTGACGATGGCGAGTCTTCCCTCGCTGCCAGGTCAGAGAGCTAGAGATTGTCAGCTGAGCGACTGTTGCGATAGGTATGAGACAGACTTGTTTCCGCAGAAGTTGGGGGAGGGCCAGTTTTCGAGTGCCTATGTCTGCTGGAACAAGAATAGTGCGGAGCGCTTCGCATTGAAGGCCGGGCTTGATTTGGAAGTCTGCAAGGGCCGATGGCTTGCGCGGAGGTCTTTGTTGCAGCAACAGAAGGAGCAGATCACGCTGCAAATGTGGCTTGGCTGGTCAGGGCTATTCGGAGCATCAGTGTCGACAAATAGTACTTGCGACAGGCCATAGGGCATGAAGGACTCATTTGGCCTTCCAGGCAGTTGTGTTGATCACGACACTTTTCTCAGCTGCAGTCAAGTTGTGCAAATGCAAGTTCAACGTATGATGCATTTTTATGCTGCCCCTCCAACGGATCTACTTTTTTGCTGTTTAGAAGTGGAATAGTTGGAATATTTGGATTGCCCCATGCGGCTTGACCAGCTTCAGCTCATTCAGCATCTAAGAATAACCAGTCCAGTTTTCTTTGAAAAGGAAATCCTATCTTGTTTCAAGTTAAACATTCTAACAAAGTTATTTGCTTTTTACAGTCCATTCAAACATATAGATTTAAAATGGAGAAACAACACGCTGCATCTTTAATCTTGAGTTTCTATTTGGTTTTGTTCACATCTACTTTCTTTTCACATTCTATTTAGAACATTGAACAAAACCTTCTTTGAAAAAACATCCAGCTGACAACCTTCTTCCCGACGCGTAGCGAAGGGTTCTCGTTTATAAGTGGGGGTCTGGGGGTGGAGGCCGTGTTCGCGAGGAGTTGCTCCAGAGTTCGCAACCGTTGGCAACCGTTCGCGGTGAGGCGCTTAGCGTGTGCCATTGGGATTCGTCGTGGAAGCGTGTTTTTGATGGATCGGCAAGGGCTGTTTTCATTGGCGCTGTGCGCGAATCGTAGCTTCTCAAGCTCGACGTGTCGTTTCGCTGCGCAGGCGCAGTGTTTTGGAAGGCTGCGTGTTCTCGTTGCCGTGCCATTGGGATTTTCGGTGGTCGCTTTGAGGTGTCCTCCTTGGCAGGCACGTCATAGTGTTTGCGCCGGCGCCGCTTTCGATTGCCCTGTCTCACAATCGGCTCGTTCTGGCGGGCCTGAAACAGGCGCCACAGTCCCGTGCTAGTTTTGGATGCGTGTCAAAGTTGGATTTCGTGGCAGTTCCAGCACTTTGGATGATTTTGAGTTTGTGGCAAGCTTACTTTGCGTGACAGGCGCAGCAGTTTCGAGCGTTTTGATTGAATTTCGTGGCAGGCCGCGGCACTTTGGAGCTTTTCGTCCAAATTTCGTGGCAGGCACAGTACTTTGGTGTCTGGGTGTAGATTTCGTGGCAGGCACGTCACTTTGACGCAGCGAGATCGCTCTCGCTGTGGCGCGGTGCGCATTTTGAGAAAGCAAAGCGAACCCTCTGCGCACTTTGGGTGGGTCGAATCGCTCTCGCTGTGGTGCGGTGCGCCTGGGTGTAGATTTCGCACAAGTGTCCATTAAAAGTGTCGCTCAGAAGTGTCGAGTAGAAGTGTCGTTCAGAAGTGTCGATCAAAAGTGTCGCCCATCGGAGGTGTCGACAGAAGTGTTGCTCGGAAGTGGTTAGAAGTGTTGATCAGGTGTCGCTCAAAAGTGTCGCTCAGAAGTGTCAATCAGAAGTGTTGCTCAGAAAAGTGTCGCTCAGAAGTGTTGCTCAGAAGTGTTGATCAGAAGTGTTGATCAGAAAAAGTGTAGTTCAGAAGTGTTGATCAGGTGTCGCTCATGTCAATCAGAAGTGTTGGTCAGAAGTGTTGCTCACTCAGAGTCTCGATCAGAAGTGTTCAGAAGTGTCAACTCAGCAGTGTTGCTCAGAAGTGTCGTTCAGAACTGGCGATGAGCAGTGTGGATCAGAAGTGTTGGTCAGAAGTATCGCTCAGAACTGTCGATGAGAAGTGTTGCTCATCAGTGTCAATCAGAAGTGTGGTTCAGCAGTGTTGCTCAAACTGTCGATCAGAAGTGCGGATCAAAAGTGTTGCTCAAAAGTGTCGATCAGGAGTGTTGCTCAGAAAAGCCGATCAGAAAAAGTGTCGCCCAGAAGTGTTGCTCTGAGAAAACGTGTGGTTCAGAAGTGTTGATCAGGTGTCGCTCAGAAGTGTCAATTGTTGCTCAGAAGCGTTGATGAGAAGGGTTCCTCAAAAGTGTGGTTCAGAAGTGTCGATCAGTTCAGCAGTGTTACTCAGAAGTGTCGTTCAGAAGTGTCGATGAGCAGTGTGGATCAGAAGTGTTGGTCAGTGGGAGAACACACGCTGCAGAGCCGGGCCCAGGTCCTCCAGCTGCTGCACTGCAGTGCTGGGAGCCGCTGGGAAGTGCACACTTTGCAGGCTGCGTCTGGGGGTCTGCCCGTCCTGCCCTGCGGCTGCATGCCTTGCTTGATCATCCTCTACCGCTGAGCTTGACCTTTTACCTTGCTGAGCAGCCGCAGAATGTCGTGCGTGCGCACAGTGAGGGAGGCCGCGTGAAGGTCTTGGCTGCCATCAAGCGCTTGGTGGGTGGGATGTGCCGGCCGGCGCCGAGTTGGTGGCTGTGGCAGCTGCCGCTTCAGAAGCTGGTGTCTCTGGCTATCCGCAGTCCTTCCTGCGCGAGCATCTCCTCCACGTGGGTGCCTTCCCAGTCAAGGTGATCTTGCGCAGGCGAAGAGCTTTTACTGCCGCCTGCACGCATGCAGCCTCTGAGACTCCATGCTTCCCCCGGAACTTTCCAAGACAACCTCTCCGGCGCCAGCTCGTTTGTCACCAATTGCTGCCTTTCATGTCCAACTTGTCTCGACACCCCCCGCTGCAAGGCCTCGCGACACATCGCTCAAGGAGCGGCAGTGGCGCGACCTCAACGTCCTCGGCCGCAGCTTGCGCTTCACGAGCCCGGCGGCGTTCGATATCCTTCTGCTGCGCGCCCTCAAGTGGCGGAACCTAGAGGCGCTTGTCTTGCTCCCCGTGCGTTGTCATGCCAGTGCAGTCCACATGTCGTCTTGCAGGCCCAAGCCATATCCTTTGCCCAGGCGCGCGGCTTGTGCACGCAGTGCTTGCGTGTAATGTTCTCTTTTCTGTGTGAAGCGCGTTGCCTGCTGTATGTGCTACGCCGCAGGCTTCTTTCCGAGCCAAGCTCCCCGCACTCCCTTCCCGTGCCCTGCCCGCCATGTCGAGTGCTCAGACGCCCATCCAGAAAAGATGGAGCATAGCGCCGAGTTCGTGCGCCGAACTTGGAGCAGTGAGCTTTTTCTTGGTCCGGAGGTTCTTTGGCCGTATGCTTCTTAGCTACTGCTTTTTGTGACACGGAGTCCGGATTCCGCTAGTTCTTCGGTTTTGGGGTTTCCTCCGCATCGAGGGCTTCCGGTTGACCACCGCCCGGGGCCCGGGCATGTCCGCACAAAACCCAGTTAGCACATTGACTCCACACTCAAAACAATCTTACTTGGACCGACAAGGTTTCTACTGCTTCATTTCTGGTTTCCCGTTCGTGTCGCCTCGCAGCTACCGGACCGTTGCTTCCCCCCGTTGGCCATTTCACCTCCTAGGCAGCGCAGGCCGTGGATTACGAAGCTGTGTTTAACACGTTGCACGCTTTGCCCACGACCCTTGCGCACGAGACCCTGGCCCTGCAGCCATGAATGCGCCCCTGGTAAAGCTTCGGCAGCGGGCTATGACGACATCGCATGGCCTCGTGTCCTCCCCTTGGTTGTTGCTCGTTCACGGGGCGTCTAGTTCTCCTTTCCCTCCTTGCTTCCAAAAAAAGCTCGCGCCCAGGTTCGCCCAGTTCAAGAAGACCAAAAAAGCGGTTTGAACACAATCATCGAGGAGAACGCGGTACCGTTCGAACTGTGACTTCACCGTGCCAGCCTGCAAGGGCACGTGGATGGTGCCCTGGACCGCGATGAAGCTCCCCTGACGTGCACTTTCATCCCAGGAGCGACTCTGGAGGAACTCTTTGCGAAGTGCGACGCTGACAACGGTGATAGAGTGTTCCACGGCATTCTGCATGGCCACGATGAGATTGCTGGATTCACATGGGTTTGTATGGCAACGGCCAAAGAACGAAAGCTCGCCAGAGTGACTTGAACGTCCTGATGGGCGGTCCTCCAGGGACCAGGGGAAAGGCTATAAAAAAGACTTGTTCGCCCTGTACCGTCAGGTCCGACTCGGGGACCAGCCGCCCAAGGTGCAGCTCCTGCAAATCTCTGGAATCAACGCCCGCGACGCGGACAAGATTCTGCGTCGATGACGACGTCATCGCTGCGTCCTTGGCGACGCGAGAGCCGTACCTCTTCTTCACTGCTCCCGTGGAGAACCCTTACGCGCTCCCACCTCCCCACGTGCGGCTGCCAGACTCTGTCCTCAACGAAGATGGCAAGCCCTTGCAGGATCGCGCTGGCTTCGGCGTGACCTGCTGCCGCGCCGCGCGGACACTGTCTCTGGCATGAAGCGGTGCTACCGGTTCGTGCAGGGGCGGCCCAATTGCGAGATACAGTTCACGGATGCTGGCCTGGAGAAGTTCCGGCGCTTTGACGCCTGCAACTGGCGTCTCGCCGGGTTCGTGCAGTACGTGGATGACCAGCTGGCAGCTGAGCTCCGTCAAGTGCAGCGTCATCATGCGCAGGCCGGACACCGTCCCGCGCACGGCAGGCGCCGCGCGCGCAGCGGCGCGGCTCCCGCCTTGACCCTTGCAGCCTGCTGCGCGCCCGGCTCCTCCCGCCTCCCCCATGCCCATTGCCAACCAGCCAAAGCTGGAACCTGCTGCAACACCATCCCAGCACGTTCCGTCTTGCGCGAGCGCTTCCTCTGCCGCCCCCTTCCCAACACGCCCTGACACAGCGTCCAGCGCAGCCACGGAGCGTTTGGTGCCTGCAGCTAGCCCAGCCCGAGGCTTCGACCTCTATGATGATGCTGCTCTTTGCGACACCCTGCGCTTGCGGGGGGGGACCGACCAACTCGCCCTCAACAATCTCCGGAACATCTACGCGATCCGCGCGGACACCTCCAGGGACTTGCGGGCCTATATGGCCCTGGACGCTGCCATTGAGAACGAGGAGAGCGACATCCTCCGGCGCCTGCGCGAGCTCCTGGCTGGCGGCGAGTTCACTGACGATGCTTGGTCTGTCCCATTTTTTTCGAGCTTCGTCTTTTTGTTCGGTCTTCTGGTCACAGGAGCTTGCCTGAGCACAGCGGCTTGGACCCCGACATGTGCTTCATTTGGGCTGAGTGGCTCGACCTCAGAGACCGGCGCAAAGATGCCGCCTCATGCCGGAAGAAGCGCCGGTCTCCTTCTTTTGATGCACGCGGTTCATTTAACTTCCTCTGTACAAGCAGCGCGCCTCCCCCGATGTTTTTAAATTTTGGCAAACTCGCGCCGCCGGCGCGCGACCGCACCATGGCTCGCGCGCCGCGGCACAAAGTTGCCTGACTCCTACGCTGATGTGCGCTCTCGCGCGCCGAGAATGAAACGCTCCGCTGTCCGCGGTGCTGAATTTGTCCTGGCTGCGCCGCTTCCTTTGGCGTGGCGCAGGCTGAACAGACCCTGGCGCCGCAGCCGTCCTGAGTCCGATGCCCCCCGAAGTCGGGTAGCCTTACTTTAGGTTTATGTCAGTGCACGTTGTGCGTGTGTTTCTTTTCCTCGCATGCTGTCTCACCTTTGTCTCACCACTGTCTCACCTCGCAATGTGTCACCTGCGCTCCTTGCCCGCGCCTTGTTGACACACTCCTTGCAAGCCCGCCCGCGAGAAAAAAAGAGCAAGACAGGAGAAGTGAACCTTCGCAACTTCCTTGTTCCGGTCCCTTGTTTAGCTCAGTTTCAAGGCAAAGAGTCAGCAGGCGAGAGGTGATGAAAAGAGTTAGCAAGCAAGAGGTGATAATTACCTGTCTCTTTCCCGTTGTCTCCCTTTTCCGAGAACTTTTTGTCGCCTGTGGCCAGCGTCACGTGCTGGAAGTTGCCGGACATGTCCTCGCGCGAGACCGCTGGACAAACTCCTTTCGATGAAGCGAGTCCTGCACCATTTTTTGCATCCTTGGGAAGCCGGGTTTGTTGTTGTGTTCCCCTCGAATCATCGTGCCGGGTTTTGCTCGACGGCGAAAGTCCCGTGCGCCCGCCAGGATCGAGATATTCAGCTGGCTTGACGCATCACGTTTTCTTTTTCGGACCCACAGCATGCAGGTGCTAGCCAGGTTTCCCGCATGACTTGTTCCGTTTGGCTTGCTGCTAGACCGCTGCCTCTTGCGTTGCAGACACAACCTTTTTCTCGTCGCGCGCAGACCGAAAGGCCGGGCAGCGCGGCAGACACTGTGAAGAGCTCCGTGTGCCGCGTGTTCTTTGTTCTGCTAGATAATCTCTTGGCGGTAGCTGTCCCTTGGCCTACTTTTAATTACTTTCGACGCAACGACCAATGCCTTGCGTTGTAAGCTTCAGTTGGATATCGGCTCATACTCAACCGCCTGGCAGCCGCATGGGTCTTTCTTCGTTTTCATAGCACTCGCCCGGCTATGCTTGGAACAGTCTTTGCGTGTTTTGGTCAACATGCCCAAGTTGCTCAACAGAATGTGTGCTGATACTCCCTGAACGTGCCAGGCACTTCTTGCTGCTTCCCTTCAGCAAGCGCTTGCACCCCGATCGCCCGTCGCGCGCGCAAGCCAACAAGACCAGTGGCGGCAAGCTCGCGCTTCCCGTCCCAATGTCGCCTCGTTTTGCCTGCATCTCGTCTCACACTTGACTTCCAAGGCAACAAATCCGCGACGTAGGCGTGGCATTCCTGGATGCGCGTTTGCTGCGCGCGAGGGTTTCTTGCTCCCAGACGTTGTCTTCACTTCCAGTTGCATTTGGTAGCGGCGGGCTACTTCCACGCTTGTCCTCGGCCATGCTCCGTTCGTGCGTTCTCGAGGTCACTTTGGCGCCCCAAAACGCAAGCAGCTCGTCCGCGGCCTACGCGTGTGTGGTCTGCGTCGCCCGACACCACGCCTGTACCGACCCTGCGCATGTAGCCCTCCACAAGGCCTGTCCACGCAATGGCCCAAGGCTTGCCACCGTTCTTAAGTCCGTCTGCCTTTGGTGTCTCGTAGGTTTGCCACTCCCGGCACAGGCCTTGCTGTGTAGGCCAGGGCCAGCCCCTCCCAGCAGCCTTGCCAAAACCTGCCAACCCCCCTTCCGTAGGCCTAGCCAAGGCCTATCAACCGTAGGGTTAGCCAAGGCCTATCAACCCCCTTGACCCTCTTCCGAGCCTAGCAACCGTCTTGCCTAGGCCCTACTGCAGGCCTACCGCAATCCTTCCCAACTCTGCCTGCAGCTTCTCGTAGGCCTGTCAACCCCCTTCCCTGGACCCTCTTCTAGGCCAACCAACCGCCTTGCCTTGACCCTGCCAAAGGCCTATGTGTAGCCTTTGTCTCAGGAGATCCATGCAACCGGTTTCCAGAAAGAATTGTCCTGGAAAAGCCTGTCGCGTCCCCAGCCAAACCATCGATCGGCTTGTAAGTTGTTCACATCGTCCCTGCACTTGTTGAGTTCTCCTCGAAAAACTTGGTTGATGCATAGGAGCCTTTTCCTGGCAACCTACTTCGCTGACCTTGACAACTTGGAAGCAGTTCACGAACCCGGCCAGTTGATTGCAGTGCTGCTGGAGCTGAGTGAACGCAAGGCCCAAAAGCCAAGCTTGTTCCGGAATGGAGTGGCGTTGGGCGCATGGAGCAAAGCCATGCGTTGGCCATCTTGGGTGCCGGCTCAAACACTGATGAGGGTTTTCTGGAGCTGTGCCGGGTGACAGAGAGGTGCGCGCCAAACGGGCACCTTTGCCGACGCTTGCCAATTTGGCGCGGCGTGTGTCTGGGTTGCTAGGTGAGGATGTCCCGGCCGAAACGCTACAAGGCGCAGTCTGCAAGTTTATGCAATTGCTCTCTTGCTTTGCTTGTGGCAAGACCTTTCGTCGAGCTCGAGAAGAAGATGGCAACCAGAAGTGGCGTGTGTCCAGTCTCGGCCGCAAGCTGCTAAGACTGATGCGCAAGTTTCAGCAGAGTAGCGAGACGGCTACCAAATGCTGCGGTGATGGAAACGTGCATTGAGTGTCCGTACTACGAAGGTTCCTTCGAAACTTCCTTTGATTAATGCCAGGTGTTAGGTTGATTCACCCCGAATCCCCGGCGCCTTCACTCTTGAACATGGCATTGACATGGCATTTTCCCCCTCGAAGTCGATGAACAACATCGATGCTTTTACCCGGCGTCACAAGGAGACGGATGGACCCGATGTGTCCTCTTCCCCAAAAAGGGGACTTCCTACAGGGACACACATGGACTGATTGTAACTATTCGTTGCTCACATAAGCTACTCAATTTCGCACCTTACATGAAGGAGACAAGCCTTTTTTGGGTTATACAGACCTGTCGTGTTTTTTTGCTGTTTGGGGTCGAGGCTAATAAATAGCTTTAGAGCCAGCTTTACAAGGAGCTTTATAAGGAGCCGCATAAAGAGCTTTAGAGCGAGCTTTACAAGGAGCTTTACAAGGAGCCTCCTTGTAGAGAAGCATCATAAGGAGCTTTATAAGAAGCTAGCAAAGGAGCCGCGTAAAGAGCTTGAAGGTCCAGCACCCATGACCATGGAGCACATGAACATTGGGGAAGGCCCCAGTACGGCAACGTGCTCCATTCTCTATAGTCCCAGAGTGTTCACTGAGTTGCGCGCATCTCAGGAAATTCGTGTTTTGCATGCCTTGGGCCCGGAGCTTGGAGTTGCGTTGAGCGGATTGGCAGGCCTGACATTCTCGCATTCTCGGTCGGTGCAAGGACAGCATCCCAGAATTATTCATTTGGTTGATGTCTACATCGAGGCCAGGCCATGACTTCGACCGTGCGTTTGGTTTAATGCTCCAGGACCCTCGGAGTACGCGTTTGGTGCTTGAGCTTTGTGAAGGAGTGCCAAGTGTACAGCAGCTCTGTGTGGACATGGTGAGAGATTGCGCGGAAACGATGAACCTACCCAGGAGGCCAGCTCTTCGATCGCCTTGTATCCCTGGGTCGATTTGAGGCCCACCGTGCGGTTTGCTTGCATGCTTGAGAACCGAAGAGCAAAGGAGCCCAACGCTGCGTACGTTGTGCAAGAGATTCTCGAGGCAGGTTTCTGCATCACGGGTCCAGTCACAGATCACAGCTCAGGCAGTTGCCTACATGCACAACAGAGGGATCATGCACCGGGCCGCCTTGCGAAATTCAGGCGTGCAGTAGAAGAAATGGAACTCTTGAACTTTAGGACTTGAAGCCGGAGAACATCCTCATGGTTTCTCCCGACAGCGATGACATCAAGGTGCTTGAAACGTGCTGAAGTGTTGCAAAGCGTGGAGGTGCAAAGTCGACAGAGTGCCAGGTTTGCGACTTTGGCATTGCCAAGATGGCAGTGGGCAAGATCTCCGGTCGATGCCGTCCGCCAAGGGCAAACTCCTTCAAGGGCTCAGATTTTTACTTGGCTCCGGAGATGATCCGGCAGGAGGAGTGCCCCAGCCTTGTGCGACTTGATTTTTCGCACACAGAGAGGCTCACATGGCCATGACTCCCATGACTCAGGTATGGTCCTGAGATCGACTTGTGGGCATTGGGCGTGACTTGCTATTCCTTGCTTGGCCCCAAGCATGCGCGACTTGTGCGACTTGTGTGACTTGAGCTCGGGCAGCTTGGAGCTCAGGATCAGTGGATGCTTGCCATTTGTCGGAGATGGCCCTGACGGTCTTCGAGGTCGCTTCATGTGGTCCGATGTCGATCGGGATCGCAGATAGGCAGATGGGGAGAGTGTTCTTGGCTCAGGAACATATCGCAAGATTGTGAATCGGGACATCCACTTTGAGGGGGAGGCCCGGCAAGTGAAAGGGAAGCGAAAGCGTTGATGGCTGTCAGGCATGGGAAGACGCATCCCCACTGGCGGGGAGCGCAGTCACGTCAATGAATCATTCGAGTCTGGTTGGTCGGCAGACAGGTCGTGGAGTTTATTTTGCAGCTGCTCTGCCTGCATCCCCATCAACGGCTGACGGCAGCGCAGGAGTGCTCAAGATTTCAGTTCTCATGTCATCTCAGAGTTTCACGTTTCGGATGGGCGTTGTGTTTGAGGCTTTGGCTCACGACTGGGTGAAATGCGCCTGCCCCCGGCAGAGCCAACAAGAGAGCGACGAGGAGTCAGACGAGTCTGACCTAGCCCAGGATGAATTAGAAGATGAAGGGGGGCCACCGCCTGGCTGCATGTCAAAAAAGGAAAGGCGCTGTGCCAAGGAGCAGCAAGGCACATTCTGTAACATGGCAAACTACCGGCCGAAGGAAGGAGCAAACACTTCAAAGCTATCAGAGCTGGACGGCTCCAGAACAAGTGAATCAGGTCAAGCCTTGGAGTGCATCCTGCAACCAACAGGGAGACTCTGAGCTGGCAACTTCGTAATCTTTCGAGTTCATGCAAAGCCATGTCGCAGCGCAAAGCAGTTTACGCTGCACGGTTTCTCAGGCTCGGGACAGGCCTTACTTCAATTCATGTCAGTGTTGCAAACGCGACAGGCCGCCAGGCTGGACAAAGCGGCTCCTGTTACGGGAGAAGCCCCGTGAGCTCACAGGCGCGGATCGGGTTTGAATCTCTTTGGATCTGCCAGTGCCGCTCTTGCCAGTGCCAATGCCGTGCCGCCTTCCGGGCTTCCGGGCTTCAGGTCCCTTTGAGAACCCCGTGCGCCGCTGGGTCCGGCTCCGGGAGAAGGCGCGCGGCCTGTTCGGAAAGTCCCGCCGACTCCGTTCATGAAACGGCGGTGCTCGTCAGTGCGAGCCATGAAGGGTCATCTTGTGTGCTCGAGGGAGTGCACTCTCAAACCCATTGTTTGCATCGCCCTTGGCCGCTTCAAAGACTGCGCACCTTCATGCTAGACATAAACAACTTGACACGACTTGTGACACCTCACATCTCATGCCATTTCCTTCCTCTCACCGAGAGGGGTCCTCCATCACAAGCTCCTTCTGGGAGCTTCATGGGCTTGCCCACAGTCTATGCCACAAAGCCTCTCACCTTTTGGCCACTATCCAGTGGCCCTTGCAGCTTTCGGACTGGGAAAAGCCCATCCGGTGAGTCCATGAGCCCCTCTTCCCCAATGGAGCCCGCTACACATTCCCGCAGTGTTTGTTCATGGTAGCACGTGAACCCAGGGTCAGACCTCCCTCTTAACACACGCAGCCAACTCACTCCGCCGAAACTCACTGAGCCAAAAACTGACTCAGCCACAACTCACTCTGCCACAGCTCGCTTTGCCGCAACTCACTCAGCCACAACTGACTCAGCCACAACTCACTCAGCCGCAACTCACTCAGCCACAAATCGCTCAGCCACAACTCGTCAGGCAGAACTCGTCAGGCAGAACTCACTCAGCCACAGCATACTCAGCCACAACTCACTCAGCCACAACTCACTCAGCCACAAATCGCTCAGCCACAACTCACTCAGCCACAGCGTACTCAGCCACAACTCACTCAGCCGCAACTCACTCAGCCACAACTGACTCAGCCACAACTCACGCAGCCACAACTCACTCGGCCACATCTCACTCAGCCACATCTCATTCAGCCGCAGCTGCAGCTCCGCAGCTGCAGCTCACTCAGCCGCAACTCACTCAGCCACAACTCACTCAGCCGCAACTCACTCAGCCACAACTTACTCTGCCACAGCTCGCTTTGCCACAACTCACTCAGAAACAAATGACTCAGCCACAACTCACGCAGCCACAACTCACTCAGCCAGAAATCACTCAGCCACAACTCGTCAGGCAGAACTCACTCAGCCACAGCTTACTCAGCCACAACTTACTCAGCCACAACTCGCTCAGCCACATCTCACTCTGCCACATCTCACTC